CCAGTATATGTTTATTGTCTGCTAAGCGAATACATAAAAGGAGTTCGGAGCGCTTAGTTATGCATCCAAGTTCACGGATATAATTCTTTGCAAAGCAGCCTGAAGGTGTCTGATTATAGTGATTCTGAGTATTCTCATTACAAGGAAGAAACACATTTACCAAAACCTTAAATAAGTGTTTTTAAGAAGTTTTTGGTGGAGCCTGTGCTACAGAATATTTAACAATATGCATATTCAAACGCTCGTGGCTCTTTCCAGATAGTCGTTCGGCAGATAATAAACGCCTGCGTTTCAAAGGGAACCCAATAATGTATACTTGTTTGGAATGGCTGGGTTAAGTTCTGACCATTTCCTGCTTAGGAAAAAATACAGCGGCATATCTCAAGGTCTAAAATAGAGTGTGGTCTAAAATATGTGCGAGCTAGTAAGAAGTCCGGTAATTATTTTAAACAAAATTATAAATGTTTTTCAATTTTTGGGCATCAGTAACTTGTTAGATTCCAGCTTCTAACTCGAGACGTACTAAAGCTACTGCGAAAGCTTACACGCCGTCTTATAGAGCTTGACTTACTCTATAAACACTACCTTGCATCCTAATGAAAATGAAGACATATGTGAATCATTGCTTTGAAGACTCAGAATTTGAAAAAAAAAAATATAAATCACCGCCTTTACCATAACTGAGGTTTTAGGCACAACAACAGAAGTCCTTTCAAATTACAGTCATAACATCACAGCATACCAATCAATCGTGAGTCTGCAAAATATCAACTTCTAAATCACATTAATAATATTTGAGGGAAATCCATTATCTTTCCGCTTAAAGGACGAAGGAATTGCAGCAACATCGACACGACAGACAACAGTGTCTAATCCAAAAAGCGCCTCAGTTAAGAGGAATGGCACCTTGATGTTCCCATCTGATCGTTTTGGAATGATCAAGAGGAGGAAAAGTATATTCAACTTTACTTGGCCGTCTTGGCCGTTTGGAAGAAAAGCTGCGAATACGACTACAACTTCCATTGCTACGAGACCAAGTAACGTGGTCACATCTAAGAAAACACGTGAGGGAGTCAGCTCCACGAAACCAGGTAAAGTCACATCTAAGAAAAAGCGTAAAGGAGTCAGTTCCACGAGATCAAGTAAAGCACAAGCAAAACCAAGTGATGCAGCAACCTCCAAAGCAGCAACATCGACAAGAAGCAGGGTAACATCGTCTAAAGCAGTGCCAACTACAACAGCAAGGTTGTCAAAGTCTACAACAACGCAAGAGGAAATATTCATACCTTGGGCAACAACCGCAGCAACAACAACTACGACTCCCACAACAACAACGAAAAGCTCAACTACTACGACGAAAACAACGACAGTTCCTACGACGACGACGACAACAACAACAACAACAACAACAACAACAACAACAACAATAACAACAACAACAAAGCCAACGACAACAACAAAGCCAACGACGACAACAAAACCCACAACTACAACTCCTACAACAACTACTATTGAGACTACAACTACAACTCCTCCTCCTACTCCACCACCACCACCTCCTCCTCCTCCTCCTCCTCCTCCTCCTCCACCTCCTCCTCCACCTCCCCCTCCTCCTCCTCCTCCTCCTCCTCCTCCTCCTCCTCCTCCACCACCACCTCCTCCTCCTCCTCCTACTACTACCACTACTACGACTAGTACTACTACTACTACTACAACTACCACCAAAACCCCGTCAACAATCAAGACTCGACCAATTACGGTAATGACTACTACGTCTACTAAGCCAACTTCGGCTGTGAAAAGGTATTGTTTTTCTCTGTTTGCTTTCTACAGCAAAACTGTTAGTGGCACAAGCATATGGCTCACTCTCTCTAAAGCATTAATATCAATCATCAATTTTGCGATTATGGTTCATAAACTAAATTTTTAGCATTCACTCTTGCACTTTTGAAATATGGTCGTCAAACTTTTCTATATTCATCCACTTATGTGTAGACAAATGCAACTGTTGAGCTTGTAGAAAATTGCGCTTGCTACGTCTTTACCGTCAATTCACCTTGCACGGGTTCGCGGGGTTGAGTCTAGACCATACTGCAAACAATGTATGAGATACGTTAATGAAAAAATTATCCTTTGATTGATCATGTTTGAGAGAGTCAGACACACAAAGAAGACGTTGTTACGAGCGTTGCTCTATGGAATAGCTTTCATATATGCATGGCCCACATATCACTAGTAAAACAGAAATTCGGTTACTCACAATGGCGGTGAATTTGGCGTATGATGCACAATTCTGTAAGTGAATGATACAGGGCGGCTATGGTACAATAACGTTATGGTTGATATACTGGTCGGTAATTGCTAATAGGGCTCTAATGCATACAAACTCGTACGACATTGGCTAACATTGGCTTTTTCTAGAATTGGTGCAGTCTCTTTTACGATAATATGTTATGGTTTTGCTTTCCTTCAGTGTTTTAGTAGCAGTATTGAAAAAGATCCAATGGTGACAATGTAGCGCCTGTCATACAAAAATTTTTTTGTCAGAAGCACACGATGTTCATGTGGATCACTTCAATCTAAAACAAACAGCCAGGGTAGCAAAAAAGATTTTCAGACCCATGCCACTTCCGATTCACGAAGATGAAGAGGAAGACCAAGGAGAAAGCGTACCCGGTTTGTTGTAAGTCGTTCCACATATTCGTTTTCATGATAAACGCCTATCCAGTAGATAAACAGATTAAACATGCCGATTGCTTCAAACAGATCTGCGGCTGGAGGGCGAGGCTCCGTGACTTGATTAAGGCTAGAAAATGATCAGAGAGATGTCCGCGAGGGGGCGCAGACTGTGTTGCGGACGCGAGCAGTCGCCTCCTAGGTCATGGGGCCCGCGTTCCAGCAGCCGATCTGGTTGAAGCAAAGGATACATACTTGCATGACGAAGGCGCAGAAGCAGTATTACTTGAGCGGGCGCGAACGCGGCGCGCGCGTATCTTCACCGTTGTAAATCCTGCACCTCATGCGCTCTGCTGCTAATAAAGCCGCGTTCGCGTGCAAAAATACTACGCCTTCGTCATGCAGCAGCCTATACCTAAGACGTAAAAATTATTTTCCTGTAGCGAAGTTTGAAGTTCTGCATAACGTCTTAAAAGCTCGGCAAATCGAATTTCCAAATTTTAATATGGTCAGTTGCTCCCCTTATCTCCCAAAGAGGGGAACAAAGCAAGTCCGTCCACTGCAACTTTTTCATTTGTGTGTCTTGCAACGACTCTGCATCTTAACCGTAGATACCAGTGGCGGATCCCCCTCGCCCCCCTCCCTCCCCTCCCCCCCCCCCACGAGAATGGTCGCGAAATATTTGAAAATTGCATGAAAAAAATGTTCGTCTCGTCTACTGTGAATAATCAATAGTTGACTTGTAAATATTAGGTTGTTCCATAAATCTTCACACTTTCGAGTTTTCACCACAATAAGTTATACACCTCTTCTTTTGAATAGACAACAGGATACCCTTCGACAGAGCATTTATGCTTTTGCACCAGCCTTGGTCCACCTCAAGTTTCAAACCAAAATCTAAAAAGTCTCGGATGCCCAGAAAACTGACAAATTTTTAATATCTTCGTTCAAAAAAGTCCTACACTCTCTCACTGGCTCACGCATATACACTCCACATCAGACACTCATATGTGCTGCTGCTGTAATTTTTTATTTAGCTTTCCTCACTCGAGTTTTTCACGCACAACTCGACATCTCTCGGGAACTAGAGCTTATAGAGAGCTAAGAATTTACGGTTGTACTCTAAGGGCTTAATAGTAAACAATCGTCAGTGAAAGAACAGCATTGCAACACTTTGGTAAAAACATGGAATTTTTCGTTTTCTTGATTTCCAGCTAATAAAAAAATACAGCAGCAGCGCATATGAGTGTCTGATGCGGAGCGTATATGCGCGAGCCAGTGAGAGATCTGTAAGACTTTTTTGATCGGAGGTATAAAAAATTTTTAATTTTCTGGGCATCCGAAAGTTTTCACATTGTGGTTTTGAACTTGAGCTAGAATGAAGCTGGTGCAAACGCATTAACGTCATCTCATAGAGCTTGCTTTGTTCTATCGAATGATATCCTAATGTCTTCTTAGAATAAGAAGTATATGGCTTATTACACCGAAAAGTCGAAAATGGAAAGACTTATAGGACAACTTAATAGTTAGATTAACTTTCAGCTTTCAAAAATCAAATTATCCTTGTAAGAAAATTTTTCCCAGGACGTGGCTGCCGCCACGCTTCCTTTTTCTAGGGCTTCGGGGTCATAGTTCCGCAAAAATATGAAGTATCTCAAAAAATGTTTTTCGAGTGCATAGTAGTCGCGCTTTATCCGAAAATAACCTTTATCGCCCTCCTCCGCGCTTCTCTTCCCCTCCCCCCCCCCCCCCCCGCCCCCAACGGAAATCCTGGGACCACCCCTGGTAGAACTGCTCCACTCGTCTACAACTTGAACTTGAGAATCCTCGAGAAATTGCGTACATTTGCCAATTCAGGATTGGAGGACTATAGGATGGTCTCACGCGGACATCTGCAACAAAACGGCGTGCATACACAATGTAGACGGTACAGAACTGTATCAGTGCGGAGCCTGTCGACGACTTGTAGTCCTTCACCCTCATTGCGCTCACCAATGATTTTTGGAGTTAGCGCATTGGATAACCCAAAGTAAATGAATGATTTCTAGGTTGATGATTTACCGAGCCACAGTCTTTTAGTACATAATTTCATTTGCGCGATCATAATATTTCTGTAAAAGTTTAATTTAGCCAGTTTCTTGACAAACATTTCAGAATTTTTGTCATGATGGGAATAGCAGTGTTGATGATATTAATGGTACTAATTGTTCTCGTTGTTTACATACGTCACAAGAAAACATCGAAAAAACAAAAACGTCGCCATGAAAAAAGTTGGTTGAGCATGGCCGATAATTGCTTTTTTTTACAAATATGCTTTCGCAGCAAAAACAGCAAAGACGAAACATCACAGAAGAAAAAGAACTGGCAAGACACAAAAAGCAAAACCGAAAACTAAAACCAAGTTGAATGAAAGAGTGGTCAACGCTCTAAGCGTAATGATTCCACCACTAGTAAGTTCATAGTAATGTTAAAATATTTTGTTGCGTATTTCTAGCAGTAGTTTACCCTTTTACAAGCACTTTTGAATTGACAGTCAGTGCCTCATGACAGCATTCAAAATAGTTGATTTGAAGCTAGTTGAAGATGTAACGTACTGCACCTCACTTAATTAACCATAATTCGGAGTTATAGTAAGTTTCAACTCAGTTCAGATGAAAATTGGACTGGCGGGAGTCCGCTTCGCAACGATTCGCGCCGCTTTGCAGTCTGCGTCTCTTCATTCTAATCTATCTCGCTGAGCCAGCGGCGATGCGGACGCGCTGCTTCACTTGGAATGTTTCGCCTACTCCGGGTGAAAAAGACTGTAGCAAACTTTTTAGGAGTAGAAGCGGGACGGAGGAAGAATACCCACTTTTGGTGGGGATAACGAGGCTAAAGAATGGGCAACTAGGGTGAACTGAGAAAGTAATGCAAGTAAATGAACGCTACACTGTCGAAAGATGATGGTCAAGTACAAAGTTGAGGTCTAGCTTGCGCCATTCAAAGACTACACTCTTCTTCCTGTAAATGGGCTTGGGTAACACGCATCTCCTTTCCTTCATCTACTGATGACTTTTCTTCGTCTTCACCTTTGGCGGTTTATAGTGTGCCATTGCTGCAAGAATTATTAAGTGTTTCAAAGTTTATTTTGAGTTTGCATGCATTATCTGTATTTGCTCATTACTTTACGGCACAAAAAAAGCTGGTAAGATTCTCCAAAGGACAATCTCGTGATGAGAGAGGAAGTCGAGAAAAAGTTCTACGACAGGAACAGATACTGACTCGAAAACCACCATGAATCGAGATAGCCTGTGGTTTCAGAAATCGGAGGTAAGGCCGCGAAAAGTCTAACTAGGACTTACCTTCCCTTGATTTTGACTAATGGCATCTCAGACAACGGATTGGATCCATCCAGTGGGCCAATTCAATACCGTCCGGGCTCTTCCCAGCATTGGTGTAGAACTCTTGCCCCGGATTCTACCGAACTTTGTGCAACGGAAGTCCCCGGAAGCTTATATCGCCCCGGGAACCCTGCATTTTCACATCTGATATACTGTAACTATCCCTAATTGAGCTACACCCAATTTTAGAGAGATCTTAATGAGATAAGGCAAAAAATCATTTGGTGTCATAAAAACAATACAACATGGGAATGATCAAAGAAGACAATGAAAGAGGACACAGAAGCTCATCTATACCTGTATCCCGTTGGTCATCGTGTTGCACGAGCGGGTGCCAGTGATGCTTCCATTTGTCCATGTCTCGGGCGACTGTTACCAGTACTTATGTATCACACCAGGAACACGTTGAACGCTCTGAAGGACTTCATTAGAGGACTTTGTGAACATGTCTGAAAATCGCATCGGCGGTCTTCCTCGCTCGCGTTTGAAGTCCAGTGGGATCCAATCTGTTACAGCTCTCATTCACCGGTTGTCGTCGAAGCGCATTACGTGTCCGGCACATCTTATCTTGTTCTGCCTGGCGTACGCGGCAGCGTCCCTGATCTTCGATCGATGACGTAGGGTGGAACTTCGTAATCCTTGCCTCACTTGCGTGAGTCGGTCCACTCTTGGCATCACTCTTTCAACAGCACGTTCGATGACGCTAACGCGTGTTCATCGCCTCCTCATTGTCCATGTTTCTGAACACGTAAAAGCAAAAAGAACCGTTGAGTTGCAAGGGTGGGCGCGGAGCCGGATGTTCTTGGTATTCTTCACTACGTCCTCAAATATCTTTATGCTCCCCATGCTGCACCCTGCTCAGTTCCGGAGCTAGATCGTTCAACATATTAAGTTTATGATCTAGGTAGGTGTAGCTTGAGCATTCGGTGATGTTCGTTCCGTTGAGCATAAAGGGAGCATCAAGCAGTCATCCGTTCCTCATGAGCACCGTCTTCGTTAAAATCAACTTAGACCGATCTTTCCACACATTCTGTCAAACTGGGCCAGCATTTGTGCTGCCTGGTAGTCTTTGGTGTTATCAATACGATGTCATCAGCAAAGCGAAGGTGATGTAGCTGCCGGCCGTCGACTTTCACTTCCATGTTGTCCCACTCCTACTTACGCATGACGACCTCCAGAGCGGCACTGAATAGTTTCGGCGATATGGTATCGCCTTGTTGCACGCCTCTCTTCACGTCAATAATGATAGCCTTGTAGAATGGTGTGATGGTGGTTGTGAAGTCGTTATACGGCTCACGAATCGTCTTGATGTAATGAGTAGGGATACCTTTACTGCTCAAGGCATCGATGACGGCTCAGTCTCAACCGAGTGAAAGGTCTCCTTCAAGTCGATGAAGTTGAGACAGAGCGGCATCTTATACCCCCATGACACTTCAATGGCCCTGACACCGTGTGTATGTAGTCTTGTGCTGAATCCTCTTCGAAACCCAGCTTGCTCGCATGTTTGTCCTTTGTTTAACTCTCTTCCGATCCTGTCGAAGATAACTCGCGCAAGGAGTTTGTAGACTACAGGCAACACGCAAATAGGGTGATAATTGCCAATGTCGCAGGGATCTCCCTTCTTGTACAGCAACACGGTCTTGCTGGTCTTCCATTGTCTTGGAACCTTACCTTCCGTCAGGAACACATGATAGCAAGACGAATCTCGCAAGGAAGAACAGACGGTGCGACAAACTCGTCCTCCTTGAGATGGCATGGTGGAAGATGGGTGTGGCTCGCAAAGATGTATAGAAGTTTTGGATGACCTTCTCCATTGATCCGGGGAGCAGTTATGGTTCCGTGAGTACGACGAAGTACGGTCATCTTTGTCTTGAAGTTGACGAAGCTTTGGCGGGCGTTTTGTACACTTCTTCCAGCCCCCGCAGCATCAACCATCACTGTTACTCTTCTCTCACTGAAGTCTTATTTATCGCTTCTCTGCATCGCTTCGCAAACTCGGACGTCAGTTGGTAGTTGCCTGTGGCTCGTGCTCGTCCATGTTGGCGTTTCAGCTCCAAAGTTTCCGTGGTGAGACGCTTTCTCGTACTTCTTGATTTTGAGCTTCCTTGGCACAATCGTGGAAATGTTGTACAAACCGTGTATTCTTCGTCTGTGTTGTCCATCACGGTATCTCTCCATGAGCCGGATATCGAGGAAAACAGATTTCAATTGATGATATTCATGGAACGATGTTTCCTGAACTTGACGGCTCTCTCTCCATGCCGCGAAAACTAGAATTTGGAGCGTAGGAGACGATGATCTGATCCCCTATAGAACTTTGGAACAACAGCGATGTCCGTCAGGCAATACCTTCTGTTGACGATGATGTGGTCAATCTCGTTATGATACTCTCCACCGAGCGATTCGTCCAGCATTGGAAAGAGGGCTATTTGAAACTGTGATTTCATGGATAGTCTTCGTCGTCATGATAAACTCGGACAATCTTCCCCTTGTTCGTTCCACTTAGACCATGGGTTCCGATGTGATGTTCAGCAGTCGACCTTCTAGCTCCGATTTTCGCGTTGAAGTCACCGACGATGATCTTGTAGAAGGTATGTTAATCTCTGTAGAACTTTTCCAAGTCCATATAAAATACCTCGAGTTCGTCCTGGTCGTAGCTGGATGTTAGGGCGTACATAATGAAGACGGTCAAGGCAGATTGATCCACATCTTGATATTCGCAAACGCCCGATTCGAGTTGTGAGTTCTTCGAATGAATCCATGTTCATGGTCAAACTCGTGCTGACAAGGACTCCCATTCCACCTACTCCTCGACTGTCGCATGTTCCTAGAAACAGTTCTTCTCCAGTCTCAAATGTGGTGTTCAGCGGGTGGTAACTCCTTGTCTCGGTCAGTCCGATGACGTCGTACTTGATCTTCCTTGCTTGCATCATGAGGTCTCTGATAGATGCGTCCGATGCTAGCGTCCTTGCGTTGTAAAACAAATCGTCATCATTGTCCGCCTCGTTTTCAGCAGCCTAGATCGCCTTTCAAACCTTGTTCCCACTGGCGCTGCCTTACCAGTGGCTCTTCCAGGATTAAAGAAGGTTCTCATAATATCACTGTGTCGAACAAGATTTTACTCGCAGGGATAGCTTGTTGGGCTCAAAACCTCCGCGGTGGACGATCAAATTCTATTTGTTGGAGGCGATTCCGAATTCACCTCCCCGCACACCTACCCGAGAAATTGGAATGCAAGCTTTTAGAGGAGGCAGAGAGTCGTCCCCCGCTTCGCTTGCTTATCAGAGCACCGCCTTTGGTAGGCGATTATCCCCGTATCCGCCACCTGGGGACGATCCACAAAGTCTTGCTACTAACCGACTGTAATCCTTCTATGAGGGAGATCCGTGGACACAGAAGATATGAAGCAGAAATGAACATTCAGCAACTTAGAAGAAAATGAAAGTAGTAAGTGAAGTCGGAGGCCGGGAAACCAAGGAGAGATCATTTTTCTTTCAGTGCAGAGGCATTCCTTGTGAAGCAGAAGTTAAAAAATGAAGATCAACGAAAGCCTAGACACATAACGGCATATAATTCAATGTACATCGATAACTCACCTTTTATAGATGCATTTTCAACACCCTTGAGAGGCACCGTGCACCGTCAAACTGTCGCAACCTAGCTCACTACACAGAGCAAGTCCACATCTCTTCACGAACAAGCCACCAAGCGGAAATCAGCAGATACGAGTCACACAGTTACAATCAGAACATCGCGCTGGCACTAAGAACATATTTTTGATAGGAAGAGCTGCGGGCAGCGAACGGCTGAATTGGCTGCTTACTAATTGCCCCGGAGGTGCTGTACGCCTAGACCTCCCGGTGATTTCGCAAATTTCTGATACATATGCTTTGGAATTCCGTGTCTCTGCTTTCTGTGACGCCATCGCGAGCGGACCACCCCACGCGGCAGCACCATGGTTAAGAGCGCCCCGGATGTCAGAGATTGCCGCTGTCCCCGGGAGCCTTCTGCGATCGACTGAGATTATGAAGACGGGGCTGTGAAGGCTAGTTGTTGGTCGAAATTTTTGTAAAACAATTTCCTGATAACAAATTCCTAGATGGCAACAAAAAAGCTGCAGTAACCCTTATAAAGTGTATACAAGATTGATACCCGAAAGCTTTTGTGCGACACAATACAATCTTCTTTGGCATTCATTTCTTTTGTGCTTGTCAGGGTGTTCGACAAACATAATATTCAACTTAAGGTTGGAACGCTGCGGTGCATGCGATATGTTGCGGTGCAACTTTAGAGGCATGTTTGAAAAATTATTCTGGATGTCCCACGCAGAAAAAAGGTGGTCTGTGTTTGCTACCAATGTAGATTGTTGGAGTGCATGACTAACACTTCATTCGAAAAAATTTTTTGTCCCCTCTTCATTCCCCGCCGAGGAGAAATCCTTGGAACCAATGCTACCTGCTACAGATATAGAACTGAGTTTGGCCTGCGGTACATCTATAACTCTGACTGTTCTTTTACTCAAAGACGCAACCAAATCCGATTTATGAGAAACAAGATCCTATTTATCTCCATTTTTTATGTTTTGATAACATGTTGATTTGCGCGCCTTATACCTTTATTTATGAGCACTACAACTACTACTTTATAGCGAAAGAGGTATGTACTTAAGTTATACCTTTTTAGAAACCGAAAAAGATGAAGTCAGCAGAGATCGATTATAAAGGTACCAAACAAGCTGCTCTAGTAATGCAAGCCGAATACAAAGGAGATGTTGTAAGTAGATTGATGACCACTTGTATGTTTGTTTATGCTATAGCATCCTGTAGGAATGTCGCAAAGATCAAAATCAAAACGTTTCTTAGCCAACTGTAGTCAGTTCGTTGAGAATTTTTCTCAATAAAGTATAAGCACAACTGTGATTGAAATGTACTAATACAAATTCATAGGTGGTCAGACGTGCACTATGAAGATAATATGATTATACGATTTAGCTCGTTAGTAATTGTCTCTAATTTCGCCAAACTACATGAAGAATTTCAGAAGCATGAACTAGATGACGAACAATCAGAAGCTCTATCCCACATAGCATTCGATCCAGACCAGAACTCTATAGCGTACATAGGAACACAAGTAGAACAACTCGTAGGGGTTAGTCTGCAATGTTTGAGTGAGCTAAGAACTACAACAATCCACTACATTTGTCTAATTTTAGGCATCTCAGATGACAGTTCCAGGGAATGTTGGGGAAGCAGAAGCTGCGCAGGTACAATTGTTTTTCCAGCTTTTTTCATCGTTTACATAGGTCCTATATGCACAACACTCTGACTCAGGGAACACTTAACAAAGCTTTATCAGCTGAAGGAGCCAGCAAATCAGCTGAGACGACGAAAGCACATTCAAATGAAGCGATAAAGAGTCGAGAAGAACTAAAAGGTGCTCCACCCGGAATGCTCAAAGTCAAAGGAATTGGTCGATGAAAAAATAGGATAGGGTGCTTATTAAACGACAAAAGTATTGAAGATTTGCTGTTTTGCTATGTTTAATTAGTAGTCGACATTCCCTCATACCATTTTATCACCAAATCTGCACAAGGGATAGGTGAATAAATAAAGTAAATTTAAATTAGTAATATGAGGTCATTGTTTGGATGACGCCAGGCCTTATGACAAAATCGTTTTGCTCACACTACCAGTGAGCATACAAAATGAGAAATACCGCTAGTGTAGCGCAAAAGTAATGTGATATCCAATGATTAGGTCTTGTCTTAAAAACTTGTTAATATGCTTCGATCAGTGAATGTGTGCCTTCCAACAGTGCGTACAAAACCATACTTAGCAAAGTCTATGAAAGTTATTCTAGCCTGTCACATTTTTTTTTTCAAATTTTGGGTACTCATGCTGACGCTCGCCAAACAGACGACATGGCAATGTTTTAAGTTTTATATTTTTGTCGTAAAACGTTGATTTTCATTACACTTGGCGTTTGATACCACTCCCCAACCGCTCGCTTTTTGACGCAATTGCCGCTTCCATACAATACCATAAACTCAGCAGTGATACCGCCTCCCGGATTACGGCAGAGGCGGAGCTTGTCAGACATCTGATGAAGTAATCAAGTGTTTCTGTGAAATTGTATCATCCAGCTGCAATTTACTCTCTCCTGAAACCTGATCCTTCCAGTAAAAGAAAATTATGTCTTCAAAATCCGTGAGTGGAAATGAAGACGCGGAGAAATTAAATTAAATTACACTTCACGGTAAGCAGTAGACGATAACAAAAAGTTTCTTAGTGTTAAGCATTTTTTCTCCTTCAGCCTTCGGTTATGTGCAGTGTCAACCTTAGATCACTGGTTAAAATATCATGGATGCTTCAGTATTTGTTCTGTGCCGGACAGGTTTTTTATAGTAATACACTTATTGCCTTACGTTTCGGCTACACGCCGTCATCAGAGGCCTGAAAGGTGTCAGTCACAAGGATGTCTGCTCTTGACCGCCAAACACCTCTTCCCACTTGCATATTCGATTCATCTAGTGTGGAAGAAGGAGGTTGGCCTTTTAGGCCTCTGATGACGGCGTGTAGCCGAAACGTAAGGCAATGAAGTGTATTACTATAAAAAACCTGTACGGCACAAAACAAATAATGAAATTATCTTTCAAATGCCCAGGTTTCAAGATAAAAAGACTTTCAAGATAATATCATGGATGCTGTTCCCCAAGAAGCACGCTGGCTGCTTTTGAAGCAGGTAGAGAGTGCGATTTTTTGGACGCTGGAATCAGTGCCTTACTTCTTGCTTGAAAAAATGCTCAGGTAACCGAACAAGAAAAGTTGAATATTGCTTCGTTTGATCAATATAAAGAAAACAAAACGGATTTTGAATCAAGCTTCTGCAAGTTCTGCGCGTCTATAATCTAAAAAAATTTGCCTTTTCGCATACCTAAACGCAATTAATTACCCTCCTTTGTTATCTCTTCCTAGTTCATTGTTATTTCTTTAAGCTCAATAGAGTATTTAATAGTTGGCGCCATCGCGCACTAAGAACACATCCCAAACCACCCTCTTGTCGCATTTAACTTTGGTAATAGGAAGAATTGCCAGAACTTTCACAACCTGGTAAGATGGGTAAGCAGATGTTGCCTATTAATGAACTTTCTTCTGATCAGCACGGTGTTGAGTTCGTGCTGTACAAACACTCAAATATTTTCCAGCTTTGACCATTTTTACTGGTAATAAATACAGCTAACTGAATCAAGAAAGCCTTTCTACGGAAGGCCAAAGTTTAGGAGAAAATGTACTGAACTCATACGACTTTTGTAGACCGCCCTACTTTGGTTTCAACCTGTGATAGTAATTTAGTCCAAACCATCACTTGATTTGAGGTTTAATTAATCATGTTGTAGAAAATATATATCTATATATATAAAACCCAATGTCTGTGAGGATGTTCGTTTATTGTTCGTTCGTTATAGAAACGCCAGCCATTAAACCGATTGAGCTAAAACTTCGCGTACATATGTTTTCGACCCCGGCGGTGGTTTATAGCTACTTTTCGCAGCGATTGGCAGGGTCTTTCTATCGATTTATTGATTTATTTACCTGAATCTCGGAAAATGAAAGTTTGACGTGCTCTTTCCAATAAACATGTAAGCAGGGGTAGTGAAGTTCATTCTAATTTCAAGGTCGACAGGATGCAGCGGGTTCGTCTCAGAGCGCTTTCCGCGCATAGAAGAGAAAGTGTAAGTATGATCGGTTTCCAGATTCTTGTGGAGGAGAGCTACGGATTTCACTGATTTTAAGGATAAGCTCAACGAGAGGGTACGAAATACAATTTTATAGCGTTGAGTTTAACAAGTTTATGCCGAAAATCACAGAATTGCGCAATCCGCTTTACACGAACTGGTTGCAGGACCAATAGTCCGCGGAGATGTTTCAAACTAGCGGAATTCGTTCCCCTACTCCATCTTGGTTGAACTAAAAGTCTCGGGGGAGACCGGGTCATCAGCTAGTAGCCCAATAAGTCTAAGTTGCCACGCGGGTCTAGTCGAACTGTGTGCTACCTCAAGGTAATTGAAATCTTTGTAACATAAAATACAAGTGTTAGTCGACACACTAATGAGAGTAGAGCCCTACCGAACTTGTGTCGATGGTGCTTCTTAAGTAGAACTTGTGATCTTCAGATTATTCCCCCCCCCCACCCAACTTGTGGAAGAACTTGTAGAAGGATTTAGATATTATGTCGTGCGTAAGGAGGTCGATCGTGATCTCATCGCCTCTGGTGTCCTACGCCTTCAACTGTACCAGGGAACAGGTTTTTTCTTGTATCTTTTTGGATCCAAAGGTACGTAATCGCAGGTTTTGTTTCCGAATCGTAGAAAGTTGTAGATCGTCTGCTAGCGCTTCCTCTATGAAGGATGCCTCAGCATCAGTGTCAAATAGTACGCAGACTTTCCTCAGTGTATTATGCTCCTTGTCTAGTACCGTGAGTTCTCCTGTGGGTAGAAAAGTTGTTTGACATGAGCCGAGATCTTCGGGATTCGACCGTAGTTCGCAAACTGCTGCGTTTTCTTTAGTGTTCTCTTCTTCCTGCAGTAGGTGGTTTACTTCTTTTGCCGGTTTGATTCGTGGAAAGGTTTTTGATCGCACTTGTTTTTCAGTGTCCTTCTGAGTCACTTTGTTTTCTAACTGTGACGAGGTCGTATCCACGGGTGCCTTCGCAAAACAACATGACGTGTGATGTGGTCCTTGGCAGTTGAAGCACTTACGCTTCAGGCACTGGATGCTCGTATGCTCCGGAGATGCGCAGCTTAGACACAATTTGTGATTCCGTAGGTATTGTGAACGTGTCCTTGGGGATGAGTACTCTGTGCACATGATGGACTTGTGATTTTCGCCGCAGTACTGCACACTCGAATGTAATTCTGAGCGAGTCTTTTTTGCGTTTTTGTCTTCACAGGACTAGCTTGTGCTTGTTGAGTTTCCTTACTTGTGTATAAGGATACCATCTCTTCGCATGCTATGACTTCATCACTGAGGTTCAGGAGATCTTGCATTTGAACCGGTGTTTGTTTCTCCACAGCTTGTTTCTTCGTTAGAACGTTGCGCTGAATGTATGCAGGGAACTTTGACAACACTTGTTTTTGTATCCATTGACCATCAACATTTTCTCCCTTATGTTCCAGCTGAGTAATCGCTTGCAGTTGTTCGAGAAAAGGTCTCTGATCTTTCAGAGAAGTCGATTTTGGAGAACATTCTTCACTCTTCGAAGTCTTCTGGCTCGTTCGGTTCCGGCTGACTCAATAATCCGTACTCTTGAAGAGCTTATTGGACCTTGGAGGTGGCAGCTTCGATAGTGCCAATGGCTCCCTCCAGGCGTTGGATGTAGCCCGTTGTCGTTTGGGCCATGGTTTTTGATTCGGTTTCGGAAGTACTAAGCTTGTGTATTCCTTCTTCTTTAAACTGTGAAATAATTCTGTCTAACTTGTTGGAGTATTAAGTCAGCATTCGCTTGGAAATCGTGGTTTTCATCGACATTTTGAGCAAAGTTGCGATTTAGATAGCGCCTAGTATCGACTACTTGTAGGGGAATGCTCAAAACTGGAAGCGGAGATATGTGCGCTGAACTTCGAGCTAATTCATAACTGCGGTATGCTACGAATAGCTGGGCCACTTGTAAAGAACTTGGGGAAACAGCTGCGCAAAACTTGTTCGTTTGAACTAACCTGGTACTGATAGTAGGTCTTCTTCTTTTTAGCCGATGCACCACTTGTAGAAAATATATATAGCCCAATAAGTCTATGTTGCCACGCGGGTCTAGTCGAACTGTGTGCTACCCCAAGGTAACTAAAATCTTTATTAATATAAAATACAAGTGTTAGTCCACACACTAATGAGAGTAGAGCCCTACCGAACTTGTGACGATAGTGCTTCTTAGGGAGAACTTGTGGTCCTCACATTTACTGGTTCAATCAAATCGATCACTAATAAATCATAGTTACATATACGTCTATTATCTGCCGTCTGGAAGGAGTTACAAAGTTCTAAATGTGCGCTTCGCTTAGCATTCTGTAGGTCGGATTCCATAAAAAATCTCTCAAAAGCACTTATTCAGGTTTCTTCAGTATGTAGTTATTTCTTGTAAATAGAATACTCATATAATTAGGCGGTTACAGCTGCCTTGCAAGAAAATCCATTGTGACTTGAATAATTTCACATATTTGAACGTTCAAACTTCTTGCGTATAATCGCTAGGCAAATAATAAACATATTTCTGACCGCCGGGATGCGAGTCTCACTGGAGTTTGCATCAATAGTCACTGCTTGTGCTGTGCTGCACAAGATGGGTTATTGAGTGGGGCCTACGAAGTGGCCACATTATGGGCGTCCTTTGGTTACTATGCCACATCCGCCAGCCAACGTTTGAGATGTTCGTGTATGGCCCGTAGTAATGAATAAAATTTCAGTTGAGGCTGCGACAAGTCAGCTTGCCTCCAGTCGAGCCACTGATTGATATTGGCAACCACCCACGATGATAAGATTGAGGGCGCCACGTCCATACAA